GATGCAGAAAAGTCCGAAAATTTCCAGCTTGGGACAAAAAAAATGCAAAAACAGGCTAAAATGGTGCCCAAATGCCAAAAAAAATCAAAATAGGGTAGTCTGGAGCAAGCCCCGATGCTGGATCACCGAAAAAAGGACCAAAAATTGCCCAAGGTCTGAGGCCGAAAATATGCAAAAAGGGCTAATGTATTATGTTTTAGCACCGATTTTTTTGCTATTTTTGCACCGATTTTTTCCATTTTGGGATCGGACATTGATAAGCATTAACCAGGGTCCTAGCCGGACTTCATGGAGCATCTGGCTGTCCGACTCCAGCGTCTAGGTATTCCATTTGATAAGGATGGAAATCGAATCAGGTTTGTGCTTGCTGCATGTGGTCGTTGGTGCGTAATCACTCACAGCTTGTGTTTGTCAACTCTAGATGCTTTCCGCATGTCATCAATATTGCTGTTACTGCCGGAATCGAGCATCTAACAGTTACAACACCCGAATTCCGTGCGAAAAACCCCAAGTATGCTGCAATATTGGGAGACAACCTTATAGGCAAAGCTCATGCTATCGTAACAGCATGTCGCGCCTCGGGACAACGCCGGGCTGATTTTCGAGCCACTATAGAAGAGGGAAACAAAAGCAACACATTCAAAATCCGTTTCCACTTGCTCCAGCTGCTTAGAGATGTCGACATTCGCTGGTCCTCCCTCTTTCTTATGATAGACCGGTTACTTTATCTCTATCCGGTATGAAAATTTCCACCACGTTCTGACCTGAACCGATACACACCCGCGCAATCCACCAATTAGCCACACCCATCGAGGAGGCGCCATCATTCACCCATCACGACGTCATATAGACATGGATCTTTGCACAGCGGCGGTGTTGGTGCTGCCGCCGTGATCTCTGTGGGCAATCCCATCCAACGCCTACGCCATGAGCTCGGCCTTGAATGTAGTGACGATCACACTGCATTCGAGGCCGAAGTCACAGGCACTATTTTGGCCCTACACATAGTACGCGCATGCCCGCACCCCCATGACACGATCATAGCTCTGGACAACACAGCCTTGATCCGAGTGCTTTACTATCCTGGTGCTACCCACTGCGACGATGACTCAGCGATGACGGTCTTGATCTCACGACGACCATAGGAAAGCTCATTGACGTGTATCTATGCAGACATCGATAATAAAAAGGAATCGACCAGGATGGGACTCGAACCCACAATCTCCTGCTGAGATTTTCAATTAGATAACCGGAAACAGACGCGTTGCCATTACGCCACCCGGCCATATTTGATTGTAGAACTTAGATCCTTTAGCGTGGCACATCAAACCATATTTTATTTGATGTCGCGACTCAGCAACTAGACTTGGGGGTCGTACAAGTCAGCTCGGATGGATTTGATCTACCTCTGTTGGAATATAGTGAAATATTTCAAGCTTGCGGTGTAGGCGCTCCTCGCGTGCGGTGCCAGGTTTTAGACAGAACCCACTGTTTTGCTTTTGATCTTAAACCACTGAGGTCCACAACAAATTACTATAAGTAAATTATAAAGGCTTATTCTTCGCTTTCACCATTCGATAGCCGCCCCTAGCGTAGCATCCCTTCCCTCCCATGCCTCATCACCCGTGACTTTTTTGGGCCAAAAGCAGTTTGCGAAGAGTCAAGCAGGACAAATCGAGTTCGGCGCCTCTATGACCGCCAGCGTTCACCCAGGCATCCAGGGGGCTCGAGAAAGCTCCAGGAGGGAGAGGAGCCAAAGAGTGCCCGAGGCTAACTTTCAAATGGCAATATTATCGTTCAGATCGACAGCTCACGGAACGTTCCTTTTTTTTTTTGCTTTCTCCTAGCATTTCCAAGACCGGCGACGAATGTGAAGTGTCTAGGTTTGAGACTCAGCGCAGGCGCAATTTTCCAGTGCATCCAAACTAGCACCATCTTTACCGTCTCTGATACACATTGGCCGAAGCTGAGGGCAAGAGCAAAAGCGACCCATGCATTCTCCAAGGACCCACAGGATCTATACGCAGTACGTGGCTTGCATTTCCTCGGTCGATTACACTCAGAGCCCAAGTATGCGTAGTGGTTTCCATGTTAGGCCGAGGGCGATCCATAAAGAGCCGATTATCATCGCACGACTCCCCGACGTCATCGCCTCTCTGGTTGTTGGAATTTAGCTCTTCCCCCAATCCATACCCATCGCCTTTTACCCAGCAGGCTCGAGAGACAGAGGAAGGCCGGAAGGCCCTCGAAGACTGCAGTTCCGATGGCGATAATCGGCGCCCAGGTCGAGTGGTTTTTAGTTGGCGCTAATTGTACCACCTTCCCAAGACGCGTGGGCCGGAGGCACCAGCAGCAACCCACACACTCTTCGGTGGGAGGCACTTGAGAGGTTCTCCACATACGTATAGCGGTCTGCTTCATTCTCCTTGACAGCCGGCTCGTAATACCCAAGGGCGCGGACATGGCCGCCCCCGCGATATCGGCGAGCTTGGCAACCCAAAAGAGATGGATTGAAATATGCGCAAGAATCTGTTTGTTTCTTGGCATCTCCAAAATGAACGGAAATCTTGAGGATAAGATATTCACTGCTCAGCGCTTGCAATTTCCCGGTGGATTCAAGTTGTCATTATCTCCAAGGCACCCTAGTCGAAGCTGAAGGTGAGAGCAATTTTAACCCACTTTTTTTCAAGTGCAGACTCTTGAAGCGGAGAGGCAGCCGAGAAATCGATCCTTTTGCTACGAGCGCTATACGCGCTGCAGGTGGCCCCGCCGCTATTGGCCGTCTTGCTTGTGAACCCCTAGAACGCGTGTACGATATGACGGCCCCCGCGAAGTGGGCAGACACGATAGCCTAAAGACGGCTCCGCCGAACCCACTTCCCGAGCTAGTCGTAGTAACACACAAGTACGAGTTCGAGGAGACTGGGATATGACCCTCTTGAGAGCCACCGCAGGTTTACACCCCACGATCTCCCCTTTATGCTCGAATATAGCGCCGTGTCCGATGGGGCTTCGTCCCGGAATCAGATATCAAAGATCATCAACCCCCAAATGCAGGAGCCTGGCAAAAATGGGATATAGGAAAGAAAAAGAAGCCGAGTTATTAGATAGACAGCAACTGTACTCTTTACCCGGGCATCAGTGATGAGTGGGTGATCATGCAATCATTAAATCGCCTCGGCACAGGATTGGGTATACGATAGACTCGACCTGGCATCGGCGTTGGGAGTCAAAAAGATATCTAGTCAGCGATAGCGTGAGTTGTGGGAAGATGCGGGACATACATACCTGCAAGCACTCTTTGACTGCGTGGGGCATTTCGGGCAAGGCCTTCACAGATCCGAAAACAGTAAGAAGCGCGTAGGAAGAACGCCGCATTCAGATTGGTGCTATGTATACCGGGTATGCAAGCTGAAAGCTGCGGCGAGAGTCAAGATGGCCCGTTTATCCTTCGTGCAGGGACAACCGAGAGTTCCCCACATTCTCGCAGGATCTGCACGCACTTCGGGGCTTCGCCTCCCTCGACTGCTCGTTCTCAGAGCCCAGATGCGCGCCGCAAGGCCCCCATAAGACCGATGATTTGTACAGTCGCAATGACGGAAAAGTCACTTTGCTGCTCTAGTAGCCCACAGATACGAATTTGAAAAGATCAAGGCATGAGCGAGAGCTTCCCTGTCTCTGAAGGTCGAAACAAGGCAATCCCCCCTCGTCTGTTTTTCTAGACTCTAGTAGGAGGCCACGTCCGGAGAGCCTTTTATTTCAAAGACAGGCGTAGAAGATCACCAATTGCCGAATCTAGGGAACCTTGCGAAGAGTGGCGAGGTCGACTCCGTTATGAGAACAGACTAACGGAAGCCTTAACACCCTTCTCCATAGAGCAGATCATCATGACACAAGTCCTCGGTGTCATCGCCCCTATGGATGTAGGCACCTCCTCCACACCCATACCCATCACCTTCCATCCAGCAGTCTCGAGGATTTGGGGAAGGCCGAAAAGCGCCCGAAGACCGCAATCATCATCGCCGAGGTGGCGCTATTTACACCATGTTCTCAAGACGCGCAGAGCCGGAAGCGCCAGCAACAACCTGTAGACTCCTCCAAGAGAGACGGCTTAGAGGTTGAGATGTTTTCCACGTAAGCATAGCTTCTACCGTGCTATCTTTTCCTCTCTAACAACCTGCTCACAACGCCCAAGGACATGGACACGACCGCCCCCACGATGTCGGTGAGCTCGACAGCCCAAAGGGGACGGCTGGGCCCACAAGTGCGAACGCGAGAAAAGTGAAAAATTCGCAAGGATTTGTTTGTTTCCTAACACTTCCAAGGCGGACGGCGGGAGTGAAGAGAATATGGAGCGTCCAGATTAACCGCCCAGCGCTGGCACTTTCCGGTGCCTTCGATCCCCAAGGCACCCTGGCTGAAGCTGAAGGCGAGACCAGCAACAATCCGCTTATCTTTTTCAAGCATAGAGACAGCCGAGAGACTTGTCAAGGTACTATGGGCGTCCTACCACCCTACTTCCTGAGCCAGTCGTAGTACCCACAAGCATGAGTTCGAGGACTGGGATACGCGCAAGGATTCCCTTGCCGCCAAAGGCCAGAGCAGCCCTGGATCTCTGCGCTCATACGCCACCTCACGTGCCCCAACCTCATCGACGCTGCCGGCACAAAGAAACGTCCTGACACCTGCGGCATTCGGAGGGACATCGTTTTCGTCGACCATGAGGATCCGAAAGATGAAGCAAAGCGCCACAGCTGGTACTCCGTTGAGATGTGAATTTGACATCTTCCAGGCAGAATACCTTCGATTTTCAGGTGATCTCTAGGATGTACGGCACCTTGCGCAGCAGGATTATAGGAGCGATCAGATAGTCACCTTGACAGACTGACGCCCTACTTGGGCCAATCGCACCCCACGACCTCCTAATGTTCGAGCACAGAGTCGTGTCCGATGAGGCCTCGTCCCGAAAACAGGCATCGAAAACCGTCAATCGCCAGACTCGGGAACCTGGCGGGGAATAGATTATAGAAGGAAAGAAAGAAGCTGGGTTACCAGATAGACGGCCTCAACTGCATTCTTTACTCGGGCATCGATGGTGAGTGGTTGGTCGTACAAACATGAACCGCCTCGGTGCAGGATTGGGTGTACGATGGGTCCGTCCTGCGGCATCGGCGTTGAAAGTCGAAAAAAATACTTAGTGAGCAATAGCGCGAGTTTTGGAACGTTGGGGGATACACATACTTGCAAGCGATCTTTGCCTAGAGCATTTTAAGCAAGGCCTCCCTACCCGCCAGCGACAGATTTGTAGACGGCTGGAGCGCGCAAATGCGCCGCCGTATTCAGACTGGTGCTATGTATGCCAGGCATGTTAGCCAAAAGCTGACGGCGAGAGCCAGCATGAAGATGGCCCGCAAACACCTCATGACGAGGCAGCCGAGAGATCCCCATATTCTCACAGAATCTACGCGCACTACGCGGCTTCGCCTCCCTCGACCGCTCGCTCTCAGAGCCCAAGTGCGCGCTGCAACGATCCCCACGAGATCCACTATTTGTCAACTCGATGGCGGCGGACGTCACTCTGCTTCTCTAGTAACCCGTAGGTACGCGTCCGGGAAGATCAAGAAGCCTTCGCTGTTCTTCGCAAAGTTTCCTAGCTCTGGCGCTGGGTAACCTTTGGCGCCTGTCTCCGAAACGAAATTTCGTCGCTAGAGCATGGGGGAAAAGACACAGGCTTGCTTTGAGCTTCAGCAACAGGAAGTCGACCCTCTTGCTACAAAAATAGAGCGCGGAAGCCTCGAGTCCATGCACTCTGTGTCAGGCGTATCGAGCAACGCCAGGCTATCGAGCGCAACAAATGCGGGACGCAGCAGAGTTATGTGCCACGCGCTCCTGTGGCGAGCTTGGCGTCGCTGCTCATCACCCTTGCGAGCGCCACCTCGGACTTGGGTCGGGGGTTTGTCTGTTTGTCCTAACGGGCTACCTTTGAAAGCGCGACTCTCGAGAAGTGAATGACCCGTAATGCGAGCCCCATCAAAAGCGCGTGCGGATCTGCCAGGCGGCGACTCGAAAATTGAACATAAGCAAAGAAGTCGTCCGAATCTTTGCAAGCCCTTCGATACAAATACACCATGCTGTAAGTAAAATCATGTCCCATGTTAGTTATGAGATTAGTAAAATACAGGAAAATGGCACCGCACATGAACCCTATAAACGCGACCTATGCCCCGTCCTTTGGTGGTTTCACGCCATTGACGGGGATAAAGGTGCTCACGATCCCATCTTGGCT